ACAATGTCTTTGAAACAGCTGGTGTTGGATAAAGCTGCACTTCATTGGCCCTCTTCTACCACCATCGATCGTGTATGGCCTCGACCTCTCCCTGGGCTTTGAATCTGCCGTGAAAAGCAGATGGGACGGTTCTGCTAAACAGTCTGGGCCTTTTTATTTTCGTCTAGCAGAACTTGTACAACCTCCTCGTTTTTATCGAACCCGTCTTGGTGAAGCATTTTCTTTGTTCCAAGTATTGTCTTGGCTGTCTCTGCAACTACGTCTTTGAACTGGTTCCACCTATCCCCCGGCCCACCAGTTAGTGGATTTATCGCCCCATACTTGCTATCAAGGTTCCTGCTGTCAACTGGGTGGCAGGAACCCGTGTCGAAGCCAAAGGGCATTTACAGTGGATGTTGAGTTTAGCTCTAAGTCTGTCCTGCAATATGTACCACGCATTGCTCTGGTAATGAGGACGTCGCTGCTGTCACGTTGACAGATAATAAAATAGTCAATGAGATATCTTTGTTTAGATCTAAGCATTCACTTCGATTTGAACTTGCCAGCCTGCCTGAATGTTGAGTCTGTTATAAGCAGGTCTTGCTCTGCATACTGGCCAAGTAGGAGGTTCACTTCCCAACTCCATGTGAAGTCTGCTGCATCGTCTGGGTCTGACGGCCAACGGAAGCCGTTGCCCGGGGTGTGGCCGCTGTTGAGCCGGACAGCTGTAAGGAGTGGGAGTTGGTGCCAGGTGTGGGCCAAGGCGGGCAGACTACGGAAAACACACACACACATACACAATATATATATATATATATATATATATATATATATATATATATATATATATATATATATATATATATGTTTGTGTGTATGCACACACATACGTACATAAAGTCTAACTCCATACATACTCACACACAAACGCGCAATATATATATATATATATATATATATATATATATATATATATATATATACATAAATATATATATATATATTTATTTATTTATTTATGTATGTATGTATTTATATGTGTTTATATATATATATATATATATATATATATATATATATATATATATAATATATATACATATATATATATATATATATATATATATATATATATATATATATATATATATATATATATATTATATATATATATATATATATATATATATATATATATATTATATATATATATATATATATATATATATATATATATATATATATATATATATATATATATATATATATATATATATATATATATATATATTGGAGTATTTGTGTACGTGTGTACAAGATCCGAAGAGGAAAAGCTTGCACGCATACCCACGGTGATTCACTGTCATTGGATCATTTACGTCAGCTGACGTCATTGTTTTCCTTTGACGTCATATCTTCTGCGAACATATCGTTGCTCATTACTACTTTTTATATCATTTATGAACAAAATTACGCGTACCCTATTCTTATACTATATATGATATGACTTTATTATAACAACAGCCACATGAATAAAATAATCTCGAGCGCTGAAATGCCCAAATACCGATGCTATAACCTCGAAAAGCGAATCCGGCATCCAGGCGAGCTTACACGAACGCCGTCACTGAGAGAGTAAACAGTAGTGTCTAGGACCAGTTGTTGTGTTGACTTTAGAAATAGTGACAAGGTAATGGTTAATTGTCTTTTCGGCCGCGTCCTTTCCTCTGATGTTTTCCCTTAGGTGTTTGTTGGTGTTTCAGGAGAAGTGTCACTGCCATTTGCCTTCGTAATGAGAGAGGTTAGGGAAATGGTTGATTTTGTGGGCGTGTTGCGTTAGTGGATTGAAAGTTTCCGAAGGTATTAGTTGACCGAATTCACGCCAAAGGCTAAAGCCCACAGATGCTGATCAGAGATACACCTGCAGTGACTCAGGTAATTGCAGTGGCCTCCAGAAAACAAATCCTGGTAAGTGCGTTTAACTTACGACCGGTGGAGGAGGCTTGTTGGCCTTTGCCGGCGTGCAGAAGGTGAGGAGACCGAGGTTGCCGTGGAGCCCAGTGGCCGTTGGATGCTGGGTTGTCTTCAAGAAATATGTTACAAAGCTGTAGACGACCTCTTGAGAGCTGTAATAGTGTATCTTTGACATAGGCTCTATGCCTGACTTTAAGTGGATTTAGTTGTAAATATATTATATGGTAGAGGCATCTGTAAGTGTATTGAATTACTATATATATTAATGAGCTTTAGATAATGGAATATGCTGTGTGTCACATTACGAGATGTTCAAACGTTCAGCCCACTGATGCCAGGATGAGAATGTATATTCTTTAGCATTATTTTAATTTTAAAATTTATTTATACATCACTTTCTTCACAAGAGCTCACCAAGGAGTTAATTACTAGACTTACCTGATCCCACCTGTTTATCATTTTCCTTGATTTTCAGAAATATTTTTATTTCTTATTTCTTGTCGCTATTGGTGTTGATTCCCGTGTCAGTAATCTTTATGATAACAGGAGTTTTATTGATGTCATTAGAAATAATAAAACTGTTTTGTGGAAATTAAAGTAACTGGGATATCAGGTGAGGGCAGATAGGCCTATGAATCCTTGATGAATAATGCTTGGTTTGTTAAAATGAATTTTCATTATAAGGACTTGCATAGGCACAGAAATAAATACATATCTATCAGTCTAGACATATATATATACCAGATAGATTGATAAATAAGTATATATCTATCAGATAGGTACATTTGCATTTATTTCTATTTATATACATGTCCTTTTATATAAATATTAACTCAAGGCTGAAAAAATGCTGTGCTCATTTTTGTGAAATGTCTCTGCACATAGATGGCTCTGCTAGTGCTTAGCCACAAAGGAGTCAATTAGGAGACCTTGTGACCTTACCTGATTTCACTTTTCCTTGAATTGGCGAGAAAAGCATTTATTTTACTAGTGCTAATATTGATGATGATACTTTTATTAGGCACTATAATTGCTATAATGTTATTGACATTAGTAACAGCAAAATAAGATAAGGTAAAATATTTTGAATAATCAAGGAAAAGGGTAAACAGGCAAGATAGGCAGTACTCATAATTGCTAAGTGTAGCCATCTATGTATAAAAACAATTAATAAAGTAAATCCACAGTGGGCATTGCATGTACGTACATGCCATGCTGTCAGATTTGGGTT